CTTTATTTATGTGTGTGTGTGTATATATATATATATATATATGTATATGTATGCATACATGTATATATATATATATATATATATATATATATGTATATATGTGTGTACTATATATATATATATATATATATATATATATATATATTATTGCAATTTTAAATAACTTTTCTACTTTAACAAACAAATTAATTAATTAATTAAAATTACTGTACAGTATAACATCTCAAGGTCTTAGACATTCAATAGACAGATGTCCAGTATATACAAAAATCTCTAAAGACCCTAGATGCACTTTTCTCCTTGTCCTGCTACCCCAGACGAATTACACATGTATACATATTTCATTTCAGCATTACTTCAGGTCTGCTAAGCACTACGAAAACAGACAGCCATGAACCCAACGACCTGCACATAAAGAGAAAACACTCCATGTACTCAAACCCACTACAGCAAGCCATTAAAGCAAGTCAGCACCTTTTGTTACATCCACAAAATTATCTCTTCTTGAATTCAACATTATAACTCTCTCCCTGAATAGACATATTGTAAGACAAAAGCTTGATTTAGCAGAGATTCAACACCCTTACACTCTCCCTGCTCTCTCTGTATGCTCTAGCTCTGCCTCTCATCCCAAGAGAGCCTAAATATAGGTCAAGGACTTGAGTCAACCAGGGCAAGGAGAAAAATACAATAATGAAGACAAAATTACATGAACAAGATCTGCAGTGTCTGAGCACAAATGGACTGTATGAGCCATTATGCAGCAGCAAACTTTAGCAACACTTCAGTTTAAGCACCTGAGTGGGTAAAGATGTCATAACATTCTCAATCATTTTACAAGTATGTCAATTATCTTACATGCACTTAAGTAAATAGGTGTTAAAATGCTTTCCTATCTCATATTCTCATCATGCATAGGCTAATTCCACCTAAAAATGTGAACACTGGCTCTATGGTGCTAAACCGTGCTATCAAAACATTGCTCTATTTGTTCGAGCATCCTGACCAGCCAGAAATAGCACAACTGGCTTAAATGATGGTGTGAGTCTGTGGTGATAAATACACATTTATCTTCATCAGTGCAGTCAGAGGGCAAATCTACTCCAAGCAAACATTCAGCTATAGAAAAAGCTTGGGCTTTATTCCAGATTGCAGGCATTATTCATCAATAACAGCTATTAATGTTCAACTACAGCTATTGGGAACCAATTTGGTGTACAAAGCATAAAGACAACAAGCTTTGACAGATTTAGGAGCATCAGTGAGGCCTGGTGCTGATAAAGCCCGGCTCACAATTGGTTTAATGACTTTGTTCAGGCCTCTTAAGGTTTTCACACAAACCATTTTACTAGTTACTGACTTCTTTGAAACACCACACACACCTTTGGTATGTAGTAGCCACTATATCTCCAGGATACAGTTTAAAACTGATTTGTTTTGATGAATAAAAGTTCAAAAGAAGAGCATTTATATGAAATAGAATGCTTTTGTAACATTGTAAATGTCTACTGTCACTTTTGATCAATTTAAGCCATCCTTGCTCAATAAAAGTGTTAATTTCTTTCCAAAAAAAGAAACATACCGGTACACGATCAAATTCGTCACACACTGAGAGCCCACGTGTTAGTCCAGGCTAACCTCACAGAAGTGAGTGTGACCTAACCTCACTTTATATTCTCACGGCATCTGCTGTGTGAATCTCATGAACTGGGCCAGGACAAGTGAGAAGGGCTGTTTAATAATATCCAGAGAACTGCCATAGCCTCCAGCACTACAGGCAAAATAGTGCCAAACACATTCAGCTCGGCCCATGAATGAAGCGAATATACCTGATACTTTTATTGACTATGGAAACTAAGTAAATGACAAAGTAAATGCTCTCATGATGTGAAATTCAAGGTATAAAATTTAAACAAATCTTATTTTATTAGAAAACAATAAGCTGTTAGACCATACTAGTTGCATACTATGTAAGACTACAATCAGATATTAAGTAATTATATGATATGAGAAAATAGAAACATTTTGAACAAAAAAAAAAGCATTTTCAATTCAGTTCTGAATGGCACACAACACCGAAATACATGTAAAGAGCCTTACCTTTGACATGTACAGTTGTCCTGGGGGTGACATCCACATCAAGAACCGGTCCAAATGGAAAACCCCAAATGACAGGTATTAGGTATCCAAGCACCATCAGCATGAAGTTGGGCTGTTTGGTCTGCCGCATGATCAACAGGATGTACTGAGGTTCTGCTAAGATCCAGGCAGGTTCCTCCAGCAGTATTTTGCTGAAGATAATGTTGTTGTGTAATTGATGCTGATTCACTAGAACAAGCTCCCGCTTCCAGCAGTGCAGTCATGGGCTGCTAACTCATCCTTGCTCTGTCAAAGGTTTCCTGCTGCATTGGCAAGAAAAAAAATGAGTAAGTCTCTTCCTTCCTGAGACACATAACAAGAGCAGATGGCTTGATGAGAAAACACATTATACACAAATGCATCCACTCAACATTTCATAGTGCAGTGTACATCTACTGTATCAAATGCTATTATCAAACTACACAGAGATATGAAAAAGCCTCAGGCAATTGCATAAAAACGTGCAAAACAATTAACATTCCTGTAGCTGGTACAGCATGGTGCTTGTTTCTCAGAACACAACCTGATAAAATGCTTACAAAAACGTTAGATAAAAGCGTATCAAATGCAAAAGAAACAAACTCCACTTTCCAAGCACATGATGAATATAAGATAGCAATAAATGGTTAATTTTAAAGAGCTGACTTTTTTATATTGCATTTTATATAGCTGAAATTTTGCATTTACATCACTTACTCACCAATGGATCCTCAGCTATGAATGGGTGCCGTCAGAATGAAAGTCCAAACAGGTGATCACAATCCACAAACTGCAGTTTTGCAATAAATAAACAAATCTATGAAGATGATTTTAACGTTGCTTCTGGTCAAAATATGAGTCCTCTATCCATAACATTGATTTCTTTATCAAAAAAGTAGTCTTGTCTGAATCAGGAGAGAAATATGCACAGATCATGCAGAATTTACAAGCAAAAACTGTTCAAAACAGTTCTAAATAGATGGATTGTGATGTGAGAGGACAACAGGGGATTGACTTTTTCACTGCTACTGCTATTATGGATTATGGAATTTCTATATACATTTCAGCCAGAAGCGATGGTTCAAATTTAAAACATACTAATGATGGATTTGTTTACTTCGAACACCCACCTTCTCACTTCACAAGATGCTAATTGATGAACTGGAGTCATGTGGATTGCTTATGAATTATTGTGATATTTGTATAGGCTGTTTGGACTCTCATTCTGACGGCACCCATTCACTGCAGAGGATCCATTGGTGAGCAACTGATGTAATGCTAAATTTCAAAACTGTTCTGATGAAGAAACCAACTCATTTACATCTTGGATGGCCTGAGTGTTCAGCAGATTTTAATCTTTTGGTAAACTATTCCTTCAAAATATTTTTTTTTTCTGGCATGATGCACTATGTGGAGGATGCACATTTTTTTTTGGCTCTGGAGAACTGCCTCAAAAGCGATTTTTGTAGCTTTTGATTCACTTTATAGTGAGAAAACCTTATTTCAAAACACTTAGAGTCACAAATTGTTTTTGTATATTATGAGGTATCGCTTAAATGTGTTTGTTGTCTAGAAACACCATTATGTGATGGTGAAATGGATATGGATGCAGTGGATATAGATACAATAGATGCAGCCACTATATACCCCATTGAAGTGAATATAAATGGTTTTGCTTTGCTCCAATTTCTTGTACCTCAGTGGAAAGCTGCTGGGTTAATGCATATCAATTCATCTATTCAGACATATACTGTACCATAAACACATAAGCATTAACACCTCTCCTGTTACAATAAGCACCCTGCTCGGGGTAGTATGGACAAGAGACACGTCAACCTGATCACATCACAGGCTGGATAAGTAAATTTGCCTACCTGCATATAATACACTATATACTATAGATAGTACATACAGAAGCATCAAGCACAGAGAGTCGTAAAGGAATCATTTTTGATATAGCCATCTGTCAGTTGAACAATATAAATACTATATTTCCAGTCTGACATTTCCACAGATGGTGAAGAAATACCTCTAATCACCCAAATGTGGGATTTTATGGCATATCTCACTAATTCTCCATCTGCACTTAATCTAGTTTAGCTGCACTGAAAGAGTCGTGAGAGATTTTGACTTAATGAGAATTTTCAAGTCTAATTTCCAATACTGATTACTGCATCCTGAAACGCTACTTATAATTATGCATGTCAAAATAGTTCATACATCCATTCCATCAGACATTATAACTAATTCCCCTACAAAAGCTGTACAATAGGTTTCTCATGTATGCTGAGATAAGTAAAATAACACGTTTGATTTGACGTAATGGAAAGAATGAACCATTCAAGAAAGCATTAGACCTTCTGAGCGCGTTAGAGACTAGATTACTGTTAGACCAAGTTACTGTTACTTTGAAGTCATTAATGAGCACATTATCTGTCTTACTTGGGTTAATTAAATCAAATAACAATGGCACTGTTTCTGAAGATGGCTTCATGGTTTGTTTGTCAAAGTATTGCCTATAAGAGTTAAGAGAACCCTCAAAAGAACAAGACAACTGTGTATTCATTTCTGATGACATGGACTAATCCCCCTCCCCAAAGTCCCATTAGTTATTCAAGGCTGATTTTCTGTCTGAAATTTCTAAATGCATCTTTTAGTTACAGAAATAAATATTACTCACTCCTTCTACCATTCTCTGGCACAGATATGCAATTTTACTTGTATTATTAGAAAGTATATTAAAAATAATCATTTAATCCAGCGCAGGCAAAAAGGACATAAACAGTATTAATCCAACCTCTGGTCCAACTAAATACAGCACAGATCAAATGCATGCTAACAATTTATTCATTCTAAATTTGATAAATAATTAATATTAATTTAGCAGGGTTGCATTGAATAAGTTTTATATTTATAAGTAGACTTGCTAATAAAAATGCTACATTGAAGCAAATTTTAATTATATGCATTTTTCACCCCCTGGTCAATTTCCAGAAAAAAAGAGATGCTCTGATGCCTCTGATAAATCACTCACAACCGTTCACTTCATACAGATCAGGTCTCATAGCACCAGATTTATTAATGCAAAGCATACACCTGCAAAACAAATTTACTGGATAGATAGATAGATAGATAGATAGATAGATAGATAGATAGATAGATAGATAGATAGATAGATAGATATTCACTCGACTTTCATGATCATTATAAAAAGAGTTTGTGTCTGCATGTGGTCTACATCAGATTGCACACCACTGCGGTATTTTTAAAGGACACTTCTGGCACTCATTCCCAGTCACCTTCACCTGCGTGTAGAGATCCCAGCAGGCTCCGCTTGCATTACAACAGATTATGCGCAAAGATAGCCTACCTACTAATGATAACTACACAGATGTAATAAAAAAGCGCAAGCAAAATGTCAAGGATATATCACAAATTCTGTAGTTAAATTACCTGACTGTTTCAGAAAAAGTAAGCATCAGTCATCCTGTGTTTCCATTGGATTCCTTGTTGTGCTGCTAATCATGCCTCTGCTCCAGAGATCTGACTGTGTACTGCGCTGCATGCTGCACGCTCCACAGAGCAGTCTCAGGTGAAACCAAACCACGCCTCTCTGGCTAATATTCATGAGAGACCACGCCCCCCACTTTGTGTCGCAATGTCACTTCTCTAATGCATAGGTTTACATGATCTTAGATTTATTAAAGTTTTTTTGCGAATGCAACGGACTTGCATTCATCAGGGATGGAGGGGCAAATGTGCGATCGTTGCGACACGGATTCAGCCGCTTCATTTGTATTGGTTGCCATCTAGAGGTTAATATTAAAAATGCAGCATGTAGGGCACGCCGGGGCTAGTTGTCACATGGGAGGCAGGAACTAAGAGCTGTATTTCAGTAACTATAACAAGTCAAAACTTGTTTTTTCTAGCAGTGATTTTTTTTTCTTTTAAATTAAAGTTAGATTCGATTTTCTTGTCCTCTAAACAAAAAAAGTCCTCTATAAAATAATATCAATGTCCTCTAAAATAATACAATCTTATTTGTGCAATAGGCTACATGTTGGATAAAAAAAATAAAACAATAGATAGATTTTACGTGAAAAGTTAATCTCAGGAGAAGGGTATTTTTCCATAAATGTCATATGTTAAAATTGTAATTAATAATTGCTGTTGTCCACAATGTATTTATAAACATTTTTTGCAGTGTTGCTGTTGTTTAAAGTGTTTACATTTTACTATGGCATATCATTTTAAATATTGTGGAATAATACATACATTTCATAAATAATACATAGGCCTACATTTTCATGTGGAAGATGTCTTACTCTATTTTCTTCATATTTATGGTATTTTATTACAGTTTCCCATAAAAATCCCAAATAATGTGACAAAATATATATATATATATTTTAGTCAAGACTTTAAAGTATATGTTGTTATTCTGTATACTACAATGCAAAGCTAAATTCATATTTTAATTGAAATTAATACTGTATATGATGACGATAATTTATCAGTATACAATATATTTTTAAATATAATTTGGTTTGGCTGAAATAGACCTCTGTAAGGCCTGACTGAGCTTTAGTTTCTTTCTTTCTTTTTAAAAATTAAACTTCAATAAACACAGTCAAAGTACAGTTAGGACTACAATAATACACACGAAAACATAAAATACAAACAAAAAAATAATGTGTATACAAAATACAAATACAGCCAGGGGGTGGGCTTAAACATTATGTAAATATATTAATGGACTTACTTGCTATCTTATTATGTAAATAAAAAAATAGTGTAACACTTTATTTTAAGGTGTCCTTGTTACACATATTACATGTACTTACTATTATAATAACAATTATATATGCATAATTACATGCAAGTAACCCTAAACCAACCCCTAATCCTAACCCTAACCATATAGTAAGTACATGTAGTTAATTAATATGACTCAGTACTTAAATGTATAATTACACTGTAACAAGGACACCTTAAAATAAAGTGTAACCAAAATTAGATTTAGTTGCTCACATCATGTGCATACAATAAGAAAACGTGCCCATTATCAGCTTGTGTAGAGCTTTGGAATAGTGCATTCATGCACAGACTTTACTGCTAGTCAAAATGATGTGCCATTTAAATGGCCACAACAACGTAGTATCAATATTCTCAGGTTACTAAATAAGTGTGTGCCTGTCTGTATGTGTACAGTTGGCAGCTGGAGTGGACTGAAGACTGAAGACTGAAGACTTCCTCGTCCTACACATGACATGTTTCCATACAACTGTGAAACCTAGAAACGCTTACAGCGCCTGTCTTGATCATCAGGTGATTGCAGCTTTGATATCAGCTTCACATGGTAAGTGTCTAACAGCCTAAATATTCTCAGAATCGACTGTTCGTATGTTTTCTGATCAGCTGCTTGAGTGGGTTCGTCTATGGGCTGTGACTTGGAGCACGTCGCATTGCTTGATATGAAAGCGGATAGCCTGCTAGCGAGCTTAATTTAGAGCAGGATTAGTAGTTTAAAAGGTTATTTTAGGTTTAAAGTGTCACGTCGCGGCTCGAATTCATAGTTTGATCAAATATGAGTGATTTTCCTTCAGCTATAATGTGATTGTCTGGTCAAATTCAAACACTATGATGAGTTGCTATGAGTAAAGTCGCTAATGTCAGCGGCTAGCACAGCTCTGCTAGTAAATATTGTATCATTATCGTAGTGAAAATGTAACAACGTATCATTCGAGGCGGAAACATTCGGTTATGGAATGTGTTTTTAAACAATTATGTGCAGGAATATTTAATGAAATATCCCAGCATAATCGTCGAGTTGAAGCAACCATTCCAACGTTTTCAGTTTCCCTTTTTAAACAGCTCTGTGTTTCAAGTGTTTTGAATCGGTAATATAGTTATGTATATATTAAATATGTACTTACAGGTGTCAGGAGTCTGATAGTGTGATCAATGGCTCTTTTAATAGTGCTTCAGGGGTAATTGTTTATTAGGAGAAGATGGAGTACGTGCGATATGAGTTGCATGCATATATGATAGATTAATGTTATAATTATCGTTAATGTAAAATAATAAAACACACATTTTGGTGAACAACTTAAAATAGATATTATTTAACAAGGAAAGGCTTAGTTCTACTTAATTATAGGTTATAACAAATAATAAAAATGTGACCTGTATTTTTTTAGATATGGAATTATAAAATAGTGGTGGTGTTATTTATGGAATTTTAAATTAATTATTGTGCCCTTGAATTAATAAATATACAAAAAGTGTCAGTGTTCCAAAGAAATAAAAAAAAGGCCTTGTTCTACTCAATTATAGATTATGACAAATAATACAAATAGGTGACTTGTATTTTTTTATATATGGCCATATTAAATAATTGTGGAATTATTTATGTAATTTTAAATGAATTATTGTGCCCTTGAATGAATAAATATACATAAAGTGTCACTGTTCCAACGAAATTAGAAGAGGCATCATTCTACTCAATTATAGCAATTATTATTATTATGACAAATAATATGTGTGGCATGTATTTTTTTAATATATGGCAATATTAAGTAATTAAGAAATTGTATGACTCTAAATGAATTGTTGTGCCCTTGAATTAATAAATATACATTAAATAGTGTCAATGTTCTGATGACATTAAAAAAAGGCTCCATTCTACTCAATTATAGGGTATGACAAATAATATGTGACATGAATTTTTGAATATATGGAAATATTACATTTTATTTCATATATATATATATGAAAACTATTTAGCTATTGGTTTTATGGTATAGGTGTTAAAGCATTTGTGTAAAAAAGGTGTGCAGGGCTCGCAAAATCACTAGGCCGACGTCCCGGGGCTATTGTGTTTTCCAGTCGGGCTACCAAAATGTACCAACACTCTGCCCGACAGGCTATCTTAAAGGGATAGGTCACCCAAAAATGAAAATTTTGTCATAATTTACTCACCCTCATGTCGTTCCAAACCTGTATGAGTTTCTTTCTTATGTTGAATACAAAAGAAGATATTTTGAAGAATGCTGGTAACCAAACAGTTGTTGGTCCCCATTGACTTCCATAGTGTTTCTTTCCCTACTAAGAAAGTCAGTGGGGACCAACAACTGTTTGGTTCTTCAAAATATCTTCTTAAATATTCATAAATATGAGCCCTGCACGTTTCAAGTCAAAACGCGGCACGGATGTCTTTATTTGAATGTATCTGAAGGGAACCGACTGTCCTCAGTAACATGTCGTTGGCATTTTAATTTCATTTGACCTATAATTCCTGATAAAGCAGCGTTTATGAGCGGGGAGCTGCTTTGTGTACAGAGCCGTTACCGGTGATACCGCAATATTTCAGCGCTCCTAAAGCGCCACCTCTGGCAGAGAATGAATTTGCATTTCCAATAAGCCTATCTTGCTGTTTATGGTCAGATCAATGCAAATATCAACTCAAGTTTTTACGCAGCAAACACATAGAGTTTCTAAAAGGTGCCTTCTAAAAATCTAAACAATTAAGACAGTAATATTTATACGTTTTAGGGAGCTGCTTTGTGTACAGAGCCGTTACCGGTGATACCGCAATATTTCAGCGCTCCTAAAGCGCCACCTCTGGCAGAGAAGGAATTTGCATTTCCAATAAGCCTATCTTGCTGTTTATGGTCAGATCAATGCAAATATCAACTCAAGTTTTTACGCAGCAAACACATAGAGTTTCTAAAAGTGCCTTCTAAAAATCTAAACAATTAAGACAGTAATATTTATACGTTTTAAATTGACATAATCATTTATATGCTTGATTTATCCCTTTTCATAAAAATGGTCTAAAGGCTGAAATGCAGTTGTATATGATTTTTGTTTTTGTGAAAACCTGTATCTGACTGTAAATCATGTAATTTTATGGCTCAATACTGTATGTTACCATAGACATTGTCCAACACCACTCATACTGTGTTCATTTTGCTTGTGCAGCTCTTAAAATGGGTCATAAACCGCCTTAAATGTGTTTTTTTAAATTCTGCAGATACCCTGTAAAATGTGAAATAAAATTCCAAAATGTTGATATTTGTGTATTGAAAATATTTTTGATTGACATTTAAACTCCTATCTGATTTTCTATATTTAAAGGAAAAAAGGTGTGCAGGGCTCGCAAAATCACTAGGCCGACGTCCCGGGGCTATTGTGTTTTCCAGTCGGGCTACCAAAATGTACCAACACTCTGCCCGACAGGCTATCTTAAAGGGATAGGTCACCCAAAAATGAAAATTTTGTCATAATTTACTCACCCTCATGTCGTTCCAAACCTGTATGAGTTTCTTTCTTATGTTGAATACAAAAGAAGATATTTTGAAGAATGCTGGTAACCAAACAGTTGTTGGTCCCCATTGACTTCCATAGTGTTTCTTTCCCTACTAAGAAAGTCAGTGGGGACCAACAACTGTTTGGTTCTTCAAAATATCTTCTTAAATATTCATAAATATGAGCCCTGCACGTTTCAAGTCAAAACGCGGCACGGATGTCTTTATTTGAATGTATCTGAAGGGAACCGACTGTCCTCAGTAACATG